AGGGAGCATGCGCTCTCCCTGCAGTTTGGCGCCGAGGGTCTGCTGCTATCTCATGACCATCTGGACTGCACAGGCTTGGCTTTGCTGTTCAGGACCCTCCTCCCCACGGGCTGCCATCTTCAGACCCCTGCTCCCCAGCTCGCTCCGTCCACAGGGCGGCCCGAGTTGGCTGTTAACGGCTGTCCCCGGGACTCCACAGACAGAGCTGGAGAGTAGCCCCAGTTTCTGGTGGCTCTCCTCATTGTCCTCACCCCATCTCTGTTGAGCACTGTCCTCTGTCCTGGGACCATGGGGGCTCCCGGCTCTGAGGGGTGGAGTGCTCCCCATGTTCTATGTTAGGGACTGTGGGGCTCCCTGCTGGAAGGAAGAACGGGAACAGGGTGCCTTGGTTTCTGAGTGCCTCCACATTTTGGGTGCAGGTACAGGAGTGGCTTTGTGGGGTTCCCAGCGCTCTCTGACAGGAAGGGAGGGCTCTGCCTCCTCTGTCTGAGACTCCTTGGACTCTGTGGGACGTGACCTCACCACAGGAGCGCCCTTCCTCATTTCACAACCTCAGAACACCTACAAGCTGAGGCGCGGCGGGCAGGAGGGTCAGCCTGGGGTCAAGGGCCCAAGGGGCAGCAGCCACAGCTCCCCTGCAGACCTGTGTGAACGCAGTGCCTGCTGGACTGGGCCCTGACCACAGCAACACGTGTGTGCTCAGCGTGTCCCTGCGTGCTAACACACATGTTCCCATGCACAGGGGTGCTAGTGTGTGCTTGTTCACGCGCTGACCTGTCCACACAGGCCTGCTCACACGTGTCCCTGCGTGCTCACACATCCACACGCAGGTGTGCTCAAGCGTTCGCTCGCTGACACATGCACACAGGCCTGCTCGCATGCTCACACACGTGCACACAGAGCCCTGCCGTCCGAGCGCGTGGCCCCGGCGTCGAGGGTGTCCTGTGCTCACCCGTGGCCACACAGAGGGGTTTCGCGGGCAGAGCTGTGGGATGGTCATCGGGTTTCTCGTGGTTACAGGGAGGAAGGAGGTGCCCCGACCCCATCAGACCCCTGGCCACGCCGTCCTTGTGACCCCCACACGTCGAGCCGTGGCTCGCCCACTGCCCGAGGGCCTGCCCACGTCCACCGCCTGACTGCTGTCCCGGTGCTGCACTCGGCACAGGCGGCTGGCGGCAGGTGTTCGTTGACTGAGCTTTTCCTAATTGCCCAGCTGAGTGGCTGTGATGTGGCTGCTGTGACAGGCCCAGCACAATGCTGGCCACAGGGCCAAGGTGTCCCCTGGGCCAGGTCTCTGTTGGAGTCCTGGTGACACAGTGGCTAAAGCACTGGTATGGCCACAGGCTGGTAGTTCAGACTCACCATTGCCCCTCGGGGGACAGGAGGCTGCAGACAGCTGGAACGATATGCAGCCTGGATCCCCGTCCTGCAGGCCCCAGGGCGTCCCAGCCACTGGATGCCTCGGCTGGGGAGCCGCCTCTGTGACGTGTGGTGTGATGTGCGGGGGGGGCCTTGGAGCACTACGTGTGACAGTGCTGGTGACGGGTGCTGGCCCCCAACTGTTCCCTGTGACATTCAGTTGAGATGCGTCATGGCCCCAGGAGTGTTGACCCCTGAGTGTCGCTGTGACGTGTTTGTGACGGGCATGGCCGCACATGTCTGCAGGTGTCCCCCGCCGTATCCCACCCCCCGCATCTGCATCCCTGGTGGGACCGGGCACATCCTTGTTGACTTCTCCAGGGCTGCTGACCAGGCGGGTTGCATCCTGCACCTCTCCTGCTCTCGTGCAAGCCTCGGACTGGCCTTCGTGGTTGTGTTCATGCCTGGGGGTGTCTGTCCTCGCCCCACCATGGTCTCCCGTAACGTGATTCCCTGCCTGGTGTTTAATGCTGACCGCCAGGCCTTGCTGAGTCGTCCTACTTTGGGACGGTGGCCAGCCTCCAGCTTCAGAGCCGTAAACAAGCATCCATGCTGGACAGATGAACAGATGACACGCTGCACTGGCTGGACAGGCGACGTGCTCACTTCAGTGATAGCCGTGTGAAACGGGAGGACGCAGTCCGAGACTGCATGTGGCTGATGGCCACCAGAGTCCTCCTGTGAGGGAGCTGTCCTGTGGTATCGGGGTGAAGGGAGGGATGAGAGGTGTCCGAGCCCCCGAGACACAGCCCCTGGTGAGGGCGGAGGCCAGGGCTCAGTGGGGTTTGCTTGTCACCCTGAAGGTGATGGAGCCTGGGAAGGGTTGGAGGGAAGGAGGTGCTCCACCTGGGTACCAGGCCGGGGGGGAAAGAAGTGGGTGCTGCCTGCGACTGGGCTGAGGGCACATGTGGTAGGCTGGGCTCCCAGGACTGACCCCCTGGATGACCTTGACCCCACCCCTCGAGTCTTCTGTCCACGCACGTGTTGCACTGAGGGCCGCTGTGGGAGACGTGCTGGCCACCTTCCTCCATCGGGGCCTCTGCCTTTTCCGCAAAGGGCCTTGGAGCATGTTTGGCTTTGCCAGCCTTTTTTTTTTTTTGATTGTGTGAGTGTACCGTCAAATCAGATCTGACTGGTACAGGAGGAGATTGTCCCTCCTTCCCCGGCAGAGCATCTGGTGGATTCGAACCGTGCACTTCTGGGATTGTGGTTGCAGCTCCTTGCCACTAGGCCACCAGAGCTCCCCTTTGCCAGCCTTTTGATCCATCTTGACTTCTCATCTCTGCCGTTTCTGGCTGTCTCTGGAGACAGTGTGTGAATAAAGGGGTAGGGCTGTGTGCTGATAAAACTTTATTTGTAGATGTTAGGTCTGGGCTAGATGTGGCCCTGATCCCAGACTGTACCCAGTCGGGTAACGACTCCTCCTGTTTTCAGTTCTGGTTTTCGGTTGGTAACAAGGCAGAAGGGACAGTGGTCTGGACCACAGGCTTGGGCCATTGACCTGGAGGGAAGGAGTGGACGGCGTGCAGCAGCCCAGACGGCAGGACTGGCCCACAGCTCCGCAATGAGGGGTGACCAGCGGGCAGCAACCTTAACAGCAGAGCTGGCCCACCAATTTTCAGGGAGGGGTGACCCGTAGCAGCTGTCCAGACAGGACTGTCCACAGTTCTGCAGAGAGGCGGTGACCGGGAGCAGTGGCCCAGGTGACTGCTGGGGACTGGATCTTCCCGGGCGAGCAGGTGACCTCGGGTTTGCAGGCCCAGAGACCCGTGGCCCAGGGAGAGCCTTTCACCTCCAGCACCCCTTCCTTTGACGGGGAAAGCAGGACCTGGACCTTACGAGATGTCCGGAGACCATCTCCCGGGCACTCTGCTCTGGAGCTGAGCTCTGGATCTGCTTGTTTGTTTATTGAAATACCCTGGTGTGTTGTCCTATTAGGATCCTCTCATGAGATCAGGGGCCGGGATGCACTGTGAATAGTCACGACCAGGTTATTAAAACGTGTAATTCCTCAGCAGGGGCGTGATGGCAGTGCGGAGGGGCTGGGGTCTATTCTGTCTTTAATAGAAGGAGGGCGGTTTCTTGGGAAGCGTGACCTCGCTGGGGCAGGGTTGGGGGTCTTGCTCTGAGGAGGGATTCCCAGGTTCGGCCTTTGAGTTCTGGCTCGGATGAGCCCTGGCTGTGACCTTGGGGCGACCACGGGTCTGCTCGTTGAGGACCCTCCTGCCCTTGTGGGGGATGTGGTTGGGGTTACCCTGAGGACGGAGCGCTGTGTCCTGTGTGGTGCGGGTCCCTGGTTCGCTCATTGGGGGCTGGCTGAGGAGGGGCACCCTGCTGGCCCCTTCCTAGGACATGACCGGGGTCTGGTACCTAGGAGAGTAGACCCCTCCCGATCCTGACGACGGTACTGGGGCCCTGGAAGATCTGTGCTCACTGAAGATGTCTTCCAGCCCCCTACCCCAATCATTCTCCATGTTTTTATTGGAAAACAAAATCTAAATGAAACGTATGAATATTTATCAGGCCGTAGGATTAATATGCACAATGATGCACATTAGACAGCAATTAAGCACCGATTTCTCTGGAGAGATGATTAACACAAAGGCACCGAAATAGAAGACAGCCACTTGGCAGAAGTTCCTGGCCAGGGCGTGTGCTGTGGGCCTGGTGCGCTGGGGCCTCTTTAGGCAGGGCTGTGCAGGAGGGGCCGACCAGCCTTCAGGCAGGAGATCCCTCCATTTGCCTCTGTTCTCTCAGAGCTGCTGGACGCCGTCCTCTGGCCCCGTCGGCTTCGGAGCGGGATGTGGTCCGTCCCACTTGAGGTGCTGGCGGTGACCTTGTCTTGCAGGGAACCGTCTGAAGTGGCTGTGTGGCCTGGCCGAAGGGTGGTCCCCGTCTGCCTCCTCAGCTAGGCTAGGGTTCGTGGAGGGAGAGGGCAGCAGTCCCTCGCCCCTGAGGTCCGTCCCGCCCATCTAGGACGATCGCCTGTTAGGGTGTATGTGAAGATAAGGGGGCACCCCACCCCAGGGACCAGCTGCTCCTCAGTGGCCAGCACGCCCGCTGATCGGTTGGGCCTCTGCTGTTGTCATCCTGGCGTGCCCTGTGGTTGCCACTTGGGAAGAAAGACCTCACAATCTCGTCCCCTGTGCTGACAACGAGAACAGGCCACCAGGATTTGGAGCTCGGCTGTGGTTCTAACAGAGGGCACCCTCTGAATGGGCCCTGAGAGACATGTCTCTTCCAACTGCCCCGTCTCTCATCCTGTCACCTGGTCACTGACACCTGTGCGGTCAAGGCTGGGCCAGAGCGAAGGACCAGGGAAGGGAAGAGACTGGGCATGTTGGCTGGGGCTTTGACAGATGAGTAAGAGTTTGCCAGCAAAACCAGCAGTGCATGTGCTCGCTTCAGCCACACAGGTAACTAAGATTGAAGTCCTACAGAGAATCAGCATGGCCTCTGTGCTCGGAGGACGTGCAGATTCGTGAAACGGTCCGTAGCAGTGCCAGGTTCTCACCCGGAGTGACGGTTCTGGAGGCGCTAGTGTCGGAGTGACCCCACACTCGTTCTGTCCTCCCCTGTAGGTCTTGACGAACGGCCCAGCTCGGGCTCCTGGGGCGCCGGCGACCAGAACAGTTCCTCCTTTGACCCCAGCCGGGTGAGGGGCTCCCCTTCCCACGTGGGGGAGGGAGGTCAGCCCCAGCCTGCTCTTCACTCGGGGTTGGGGCTGAGAGGCATGGGTGCGGGCATGCTGCCATCAGAAGCAGCAAGACGGGCCCCGCGAGCCCCCAGCCCCCCTGACCTGCATCTCTCCGCAGCCCTATGGGGAGGGCCCCCACTTCAGTGAGTCTCGTGGCTGCCTGTCTTCATCCCCGTTCCTGGGACCTGGCCTCACAGGTGAGTGCACCTGTCAGCTCTCACCTGCCCTGTGACCCACGGAGCCTGGCTGCAGACCAGATCCTGCTCAGCATTTCTGAGTCAAGGCACTTCCACCTGCTGCTCGGGGGCTCCGGCTCCCCCACCCCTGCCAGGCACTGGGGAAGCACGGGGGTACTCCGCTCTGTGCCCCTTGCCCCCTGGGAGCTGCAGTTCTGTGATGCCAGCAGACACCTCTGCCAGTGGCTTAGCCCCAGGCACGGTGGCCCACGATCGTCAGAACTGCTTCTGCATGTTTTCTCTGTTAGCTCCGCCCGTCCTGAGGTCCCAGTCCGTTCCCTGGTCACGAGAAGCCTTGGGGTTTCTGCGTGGTGATGGGCACTGTGTGCTCAGGGCACCACACTCTGCGTCTGGGATGTGGTGTCGGTGGAGACTGGAGGGGTGGCAGTGCCGGGTTTGGACTCGCTGCGGGGGGACAGCGTATGGTGAGAGTGAAGTGGACAAGGGCAGAGCTGGAGGCAATGCTGCATGCCCATTTCGTGGATGGAGAAGACGAGGTCCAGCCCTCACTTAGCCCATTCACGGCCTCCCGAGCTTCCCCTCGGCTCTTCCTTCTTTGTGGCAGCTTCCTGCCACCAGCTGTCCAAGCGTGAGCAGAGCTGACGGGGCAGTTCCCAAGTTCCCATGCCTCTTGGCCAAAGAACTCCGCTGAGCCTGGACCTGGCTTCCTGTGTTCTACGCTCAGCCAGGGCCTTTCTTACCCAGAAGGGGCTTGTTGCCGTAACCCGGCTTGTCAGGCCAGCAGTAACGTTTGTTAACGGTAGCAGTTGGTCAGCGTCCCGGAGACTCAGTGGGTTGGGTCCTGAGTAACCCAGTCACCTGCTTAAGGAGAGACTTGATTCAAGTGTCTCTGAAGCAGCAGGACCCCACCATGCAGACCAGCCGTACCCCTACAATCCCTCACTTCACCCACCCTCTGAGGAGGCGACCCCTTTTCTCCAAAGATTGAAAAAATCGATTTTTTCCCACACATTCATATCTGGCTGTAGGTGGCGGGCCCTGTGAGCCTGGCGCTGGGAACAGGCTCTGTGCTGGTGCAGCCAGGGGGGTGGAGTCGGGCCCTGCTGTGGATCTGCCCGGGGTGACAGTGGGCCTTCGGCTCCCAACATGCTGCCAGCTGGGGGCCGAACCTGTCACCTTGTAGACAGCACCCAAGACCCACCAGGCAGGGACCCAGGCGCAGGGTGGCTCAGCCGGAAGGACGGTGGCCTGGCCGAGCCCTGGGGAGCAGACTCGGGGTCTGCACTTGTTCCCAAGCCCGTTGCCGTCACCAGGAAGGTCCGACCTGGGCACGTGTCCTGCCAGCCTTGTGCAGCCAGTAGGGAAGGTTCTAGGCTGACTCTGAGTGACCAGTTCTCTCCGTTCAGGCAAAGGCAGTGAGCGGGCCCCATATGCCTCTTTCGGGAGAGAAGCTGGCATTGGTGGTGTGAATCAGGTGAGTTGAGCAGAGGGCAGGGGACGGTGCCCAGCGCTGGGCTCTGCCCGTGTCCAGAGAGCCCAGGGCATGTGCTGCGTATTCTGGGGAAGGTCTGATACGGCCCCCAGAGGCTCAGGCCACAGCTGCCCTCCACCTTCCGTCAGCTTCCCGCATGCTGTGTCTTTAGGGGAGGGGTCTGTGTTCCCCCTGGGGTGACCTGTTGGCGAGCTGCTCAGCACCCTGACCTGGGCTTCTGCCGCTGCCAGCAAGTCAGCAGGAAGACCCTGGAGGCTGGGGGCCCATGTGTCTGTGGGCCGGGGACCTCGTGCCTGGAGGCTGGCCTGTGCGCCTGGAGGCTGGGAGAGGGGCCGTGAGCCTATAGGCCAGGCCTGTAGGCTGGGTTTGGTTTTGCTAGCGTAGACTGCGGGGACCAGGGCTGCCTCTCATGGTGATCTGTCCCTTCCCTAGGTTGGCTTCCTGCCGGGCGAGCTAGCCCTCAGCAGCCCTGGGCCGCTGTCCCCCTCAGGTGTCAAAGGCAGTGCCCAGTATTACCCTCCATATCCCAGCAATCCCCGGCGGAGACCCGCGGACGGCAGCAGCCTGGGTGAGTGGGGTCATTCGGGGCCAGTGGAGTCCAGGGCCCAGGACAGTGAAGCCCTTTGTCCCAGCATGAGGGGTAACTGGTGGCTTCCAGGTCCCTGCTTTGCCAGGGTTGTGGCCAGATTGGAGGGCGGTGATCTTCCATACTGTGGACACATCCCTGACAGCTTATGGTGTGTCTCCAGCCACCAGGTGGGCCTGAGTTTTTAAGGCTCATCAAGGGCCACCGCCTGAGTGACAGGTGTCCCCATGCAGAGTCCAGGTTGCTGTGGCTTTGTGCTCCTGACTGTTGTGGGATGTCCCAGCAATTGGGGCCGGGGTCAGATGCTCACTACTCTTTCCTGACAGACTCCCAGTCCAAGAAGGTCCGGAAGGTGCCACCGGGGCTCCCGTCATCGGTGAGTGGTGGGGCAAGCAGGCCGGGCCCTGCTTGTCAGCTGGACAGCTCTGGGGACACTGGCTTTTGGGTGACCCCACCTCGGAGTGACAGGGAAGTTCTCAAGTCTGACTTGGACTCATTTGCTTTAAGGCAGAATTTCATCATGTGGTCAAGGCGTCTTTAGAGTGGGAACCGGGGTCTTGGGAACAGGTGTAGGGAAGGGTCCTCCCACAGCCTGTTTGCGGGCCTGCCTGGGGTCGTGTCCTGTGGCAGAGTCCACAGCACCACCAGAGTCGCTGGGGATGCCCGGGCCTCCCCCTGCGCTTTGGCCTAGCAGGGTGCCCTTCTCGGCACATCAGGAGTGACAGCTTGGCAGGTGCCTATTCCCCACGCTGGTCTGTAGGGCCCATGGACACGTGGGTGCCTGGACCTGCAGGCTGGCCATGCTCCTGTGGCCCAGGCTTCAGGATTGAAGTCCAGCGTGGGTGAGCCACTGGCTTGGGCCTGGGCTGGAAGGGTCTAGTCAGGCCCCGCTGTTGAAGCCTCGACTCTGTGATGGCGGTGCCCTGGCCATCTCGTCCCCTAGTTCCCCGCACTGCTGCCAGGCCAGGCAGCACCAGCTGATGCCAGCACTTACCCTGGGCTGTTGGAGCTGACGCAGTGCGTGGACTCTTGGCCACTCCTGCTCTGGGACGGCCACAGGCGAGCCTTCATTGAGGGCCTCGCTTCTTGAGACCCTGTGGTCATCTACCCATAGCATCTGGCTTTGAGAGCCTGGAGGAGGAACTGAGGACGCTAGAGTTGAGGCTTTGAGGGGTCAGTAGGAGTTTTCCAGCTGTAGGAGAGGCACGCCAGATATAGAGCGCAGTGGAAGGCACGTTGTGCAGGAGGAGAGGACAGCAGGAGGGGTTTGGAGGAAGGAGGTCTCTAGAACCTCGAAGCCAAGGGCCAGCTTTATGTGGGGGCGTGACTGCAGGACCTTGGGAGGTAATGTGGCTGGGGGTGGGGTGGTGGGCGCAGCCCTCCTGTGGCCCCTGACCATAGCCCCCCACAGGTGTACCCACCCAGCTCAGGGGATGACTACAGCAGAGGCCCCGCCGCCGATCCCGCCGGCAGGACTCCTGGCAGCTACCCCACGCCCTTCTACATGGCCGGTGCGTGGGGCCCTGCCTGGGACACAGGAGGGGCCTGGGGTTCCTGCCCACCACTCAACACCCCCTCTCTGCAGATGGCAGCCTGCACCCTTCGGCTGAGCTCTGGGGGCCCCCAGGCCAGGCAGGTTTTGGGCCCATGCTGAGTGGGGGCTCCTCCCCGCTGCCCCTCCCTCCTGGGGGCACCTCTGCAGGCAGCAGCGTCCTCAGCGGCCTTCACCAGCATGAGCGCATGGTAGGACCCTGAGGGCGGGCGCAGGGTGGGCGAGACCCTGGCCTCATACCCCTCACCCTTTACCCTCCACGCCCCTCACCCCTCTATGACTCACACCCTCCACACCCCTCACCTTCCACGCCCCTCACGCTCCACACCCCTCACCCTCCACGTCCCTCACCCCTCTCTCCATGCCCACGCCCCTCCCCCAGCCATGCCCCACACAGGGCTACTCGCTACATGGAGCCGAGGTGAACGGCGGGCTGCCTGCCGTGTCCAGCTTCTCGTCGGCACCTGGAGCTGCCTACAGCAGCGTCCCCAGCCATACCCCGCCAGTCAGTGGAGCGGACAGCCTTCTGGGTATGGCTGCCCTGGCCACCCTTCTCCTGGGGATGCCGTTCGTGTGGGAGGGTTCACGGTGGCAACCAGCCCGTGGCAGTTAGTCACCGTTAAGGTTCTCAGAGGCCCTGGGCGACCCTCTGCCTGCGCTGGGGATCTGGGAACGGCTTAGGGCAGGGACCTGTCCAGAGCCGCTCGGCTTTCTGTGTTCCTCAGAGCTTTGCTGGTCACGAATCCAAGGTCCTCTGGACTTGTGGCCGAGCTTTCTGCCGGCTGGGGCGCCCATCTCCGGACATTCCTCCTGAGTTCGGCTTTGCCCCTCTTCCCCACAGGCTCCCGAGGGACCACGGCCGGCAGCTCTGGGGACGCCCTTGGAAAGGCCCTGGCCTCGGTGAGGTTCAGACACGGGCGAGGAGGGGGCTAATCGGTGAGATCCTCTGACCTCTTAGTGGCCCCTTCTGTTCTTTTCACAGATCTATTCCCCGGACCATTCCAGCAACAACTTCTCGTCCAGCCCCTCGACCCCCGTGGGCTCCCCCCAGGGACTGGCAGGTCTGTGAGGGCATGGTGGTCTGGGGCTGGCAGGATGGGCTCAGACCTGCTCCACCTGCATGTGAACAGGCAGAGGGTCAGGGCCTAGCAACCCTCTCCCTGCCGTCTCAAGTTTGTGCCTCAGAGCCACCCAGGAGGGCTGCCTGGAGGAGGTGACTTCTGAGTGCATTCAGAAATGTCAGGACTGGGTCACCTCCAGCTCAGACCAGGCTGAGAGGAGAACCTGGTAGAGCCCAGGTGGTGAGTGGGCTGCTTGGCGGCTCTGGAAGCTCTGGCTAGGGGTCCCACGTGCGTGTGCCTTGGGTTGTGTGTTTATGCTGTGGGCGTTGATAAGGCGCCAGCTACACGTCCTCGTTCTGCTCTGGCCCTGGGAGACCAGAACCCCCACACCAGCTGGAAGTGTTAGGGAAGGAAGGATGGAGGGCCAGGGGTTGGCTTGAAATCTCTCCAGGGCCCTTGGAGCTGACCACTTCCTTGCCAGCTGCTGGAGGCTGGGGCTAGGGGCGACTTCACCTCCTTCCTTTGTGTAGCTGTTTGGGCCTTAAGAGAGAGTCTGCTTGGGGAAGCTCAGAGCACAAGCCTGCTCACAGATCCCTCAGCTTCCTGAACCCAGGCTCCAGCCCACTGGGCACCAGTGCCCGGTCCCTGTCAGATGCCTCAGAAGAGCTGCGTGGTCTGGGGCACCCCCGTGTGGCCATGCCAGGCACTGCAGGCCCCCCAGCAGCCCAGCTCCCCGTCTCCCTCCCGTCCGTGAGGGCAGGGCCAGCACTGGCTAACACACTTCCTCGTCTGCAGGGAGTTCTCAGTGGCCCCGAGCAGGAGCCCCCGGTGCCTTATCACCCAGCTATGATGGGGGCCTTCACAGCCTGGTGAGTCCTCTGCAGATGTCCGGGGGGACACAGCTCATGGGAGGCCAGGAGTGGGCAGATAGTGGACATGGAGCCACGTCTCACGTGACTCTGACTCTTGTGACTGTAAAACCGTTGCGGGAAGTAGACACTGGTTTGTGTGATGGTTTTATGATGGTCACACATCCTGAGGTAGAAAAGCCTACCTGAGAACACGTGTTGTGAGGGTTACGGCCGGGCTCGCTCGGTCCTCGAAGCCCTCGATGACGGGAGCAGGCGAGGCACGGGGTGCCCAGCCCAGCCTCATGCCCCTCCCCACAGAACAAGCTGGAGGACCACTTGGACGAGGCCATCCATGTGCTACGTAGCCACGCTGTGGGCACAGCCAGTGACATCCACATGCTGCCCGGCCCTGGCGCCCTGGCCTCAGGCTTTGCCAACCCCACCATGTCGCTGGGTGGCCGACATGGTGGCCTGGTGAGTGAGGGCCAGGCTGGGGCGGGACGCATGGACCGGCAGTGCCCCCGAACTGACCCACTGCACCCTCCACCTCCAGGCAGGAGGCGGCCACACAGAAGATGGGGTGTCAGGCGGCGCCGGACTGCTGCACAACCACGTATCCCTGCCCAGCCAGCCCAGCGCACTCCCTGACCTCTCTCGGCCTCCCGACACCTACAGCAGTAAGGCCTAGTACCTGGGGCCCTGGGGGCAGCCCTCCACAAAGGGTGGGTGGGGGCGCAGGAAGGTCCCTCCAGTGAAGGACAGTGTTACCCTGGATCTGCGCTCAGGCATGGGGTCATGGCACCCTGGGGAAACTGAGAGGGCGTGGGTGGGGAGGTGGGAGCTTGCTGCCAGGGGTCCTGTGGAGAGGGGAAGGATGAGGATGTGGCGGGCATCAGGAGAGGTACCTGCAGAGGGAAGGTAAGAGGGGACAGCGAGATGGGAGCCCTGGATGGACGCACAACAGTGTGGACGGGCTGTGTGCACAGCGCCCCCTGGTGACAGTGAGGCGGTGGGGGGCAGCAGCCGGGGTGATGGGGGAGGGGGACAGCAGTGCGGGGAGGTGGGGGGCAGGAGCTGGGGTGACTTCAGGGAGAAGGGCAGCAGTGCTGGCTGTTCGGGTCAGGAGTATTTGGATGGTTATTAAGTCTACATTTCAGGATGTCAGTCACCCCCCCACCTCTCTCCTCCTAATTGACACCCCCATGGGAACTCAGATCCTCTATCCTGGTGTCCTCCTGTGATGGGCAGTTGTTGGACAGTTGGGTAGATGGGAGTCATCTGGGGACTGTCAGGCCTGACCACCCTCCGGGAGCAGGTCACAGGAGCTGTGTTTAGGCTGAGGCTGACCTCACAAGGGGGTTCGAGCCGGGCAGCTTGCTCTGGGCGGGTCAGCGCAGGGTGGGGCTAGTGTGGTGACGTCAGGGCGCAGGCCATAGGGGACAGGGCTCCTTGGGACGGGCAGGCTGCTGGACGTCACCCAGATGGGGCCAGAGTGAGGCCCTGGTGACGGGGTGCGGGGACTGGCATCAGCAGTGATGTGCCGTCTGGGGTTTGGCACTGAAGGGGAGTGAAGTGGAGAAGGTTCTAGAATGAAGTTGTGCCAGGAAGTGGAGTGTTGGCCTGCTGCCGAGAGTTCAGTCACGGACGGGCTGGCGATGGACAGGATCAGGGCTGGTAAATGGTTCCAGTTAGGGATGGGCTCAGGTGTAGAGGTGAGAGTGGGATTAGGAATATAGTCAGACCTTGGTTGGATTCAGGGACAGAGATAGGGAGGGCTGGATATGGTGAAGATTAGAGAGGAGGGTGGGTGGGTTAGGGCTGGAATTGGGCATTGGGTGTGTGGTTTGGGAGGAGGTAAGGGCTGGAGTCGGGTGGGGTGTGGGTGAGCCTGAGAAAGTGAGTATGAGAAAGTTACAGTCAGGGTGCCGGGGTGGGCGTGAGGGGGCCAGGGTAGGTGAGAGAGGATGAGGATGGGTGTGAGGCATTAACAGGACGCAGGACCCCATCATGACAAGGGTGGGCTGTTGACTGGGCAGGTGGGGTGCAGGGGAGCTCCCCTGTGCTGGCTCCTGGTGGGCTGGTCCAGGAGTGATGTAAGGACTGCCCTGATGGGAGGTGGAGGCCAAGGGCCTCCCAGCAGGTGATGAGCTGTGGGCAGCAAGCCCACTACAGCCGCCTCATAGAACACCTTCCATCAGGTGCGGAAGTGATGGCACCAGGTGGGTGGGTGTGGGTGACCTGACCCCATTGGTGCCCCACCCTCTGTCTCGTGCTGTGAGATGAAGCACAAACATAAAAAGACATGGTGTCTGGTCTCCCTGTGGCCAGCGGCAGTGCCTACCCAGAGCACCCGTGCCAGCGGCCCGGGAGTCCCCTCACGATGGCGGTGGTGTCACCATCACTCACTGGCCCTCCTGTCCTCACCTCCAAAGCCACCACCCTCTGTGGACTGGGGCTCGTCTGTGACGGGTTCTCATCCAGGTCACTGGGTTCGTCTCAGCCGGGAGCGGCGGCTGACGCCTGGCACGTGCAGTCCTCGTGGACAGACAGTCCCTCTGTTGTTGCCCTGTGTGTCCATCTGTTGAAGAGCCAGTGAGGGCCGATCGCCTCAGCTGGCTTCCCGCTGTGATGGGGGGCTGGGGCGACATGCAGGCCAGTCTGTCTTGGCTCATGGCGCGGGGACGCTGCATGGCCGCTGCCCACGTTACTGCCTCGTAGGATTCTCGGCTGTAGCCTTCACAGGAGCGGACTGTCCTCAAGAGCAACACCTGTTTAGTCCCCTGGCCTCCTGGGGTGACAGTAGGCTGTGAGGTTTTGAGGGGAGACTACGTCCCTTTTTCAAGATGATAATGTCCAGCTGTTTCCGAAGTGTTTGTTACCATCTGGGTGTGCCAGGAGCAGGCCTCTAACCAGCTAGCATGATGGGAAGTGGTGGACAGTTCTCAGTGGTCAGTGTGACAGGAAGTGGTCTACACTGTGGTCCTCAGTGGTGAGCATGATGGGTAGTAGTGGACACTGGTCCTCAGAGTGGTCAGCGTGACAGGAAGTGGTGTGCATGGGGGTCCTCAGTGGTATGATTTCTGTTTCCAGCCCCCACCCTTCTCTGAAATGCCGGCTCTTTTCTTACTGCTTTGTAAATGCTCTTTGTATATTCTGGCCCGTGCCTCTGTGAGGGTCTCGTTCCACCTCCTGCTCTGGGCCTGGCTTCACGCGCTCGGTGCACCCCCTCATCAGAGGTGGCCGTCTGGGTGGCTGGGTCTTATGCTGAGGCAGTTCCTGCTGCTAGCAGCCCCGCAGCTGATTGGCCCAACCGTGGGGGGGGGGGGACACACACACGGTTGGTCCGGTTCTAGGTGGTAGTGGGGGAACAGTTGACTGTGGGTGGGGGACACGCGGTTGGCCCGGCCGTCAGTAGTGGGGGGATGGCTGTCTCGGCTGTGACGTTTCTGCCTGGGTGACCTTGTGTAGCCACCGCGACAACATTGTGGCTTTGTCATCGCGCCCGAGTGGGGAACTTGTACGTCTCGAGACCCAGGGTCGGTTCCCAGCGGAGGTGCTGGTGCTTCCAGCCCAGGTGTGGGAGGAAAGGCCTGGGGTCAGTCCAGAAAGGTCACGTCTGAGGCTCTGGACAGTCCCCAACTACAGTGGCCCCCAGAGGCATGACCTAAGCACATCGGCCTGACAGCGACCCCACACGAGAGCGTAACTGACTCCCACGGTTCAGACCTCCGGTCTGTCTCCCAGCTGCTGGAAGGGCCTGCACTGTCCGTTCTCTTAGCAGCTTGAGTGTGTGCCCACCAGGGTCTCTTCCTCGAGGACTCACCCCTGAATCCCAGGCCTAACAGGCCAAAGGGGAGCCCCCTAACCCTGGCCCGTTGCAGGCCTCGGGCGGCCCGGCACGGCGCCCGGTGAGATCAAGCAGGAGGAGAAGGAGGACGAGGAGAGCCCCTCGCTAGCCGACAACTCAGAGGAGGAGAAGAAGGAGCTGAAGCCCCCGCGCACGCGGACCAGGTGCCAGCCCCCCACGCTCGCCGGCCCTGCCCGGACCCCCGCCCCGCCCCGGGGAGCCCCGCCTCACGCTCTCCCCCCGGCCCCCGGCCACCTCCCCCTTAGCCCAGACGAGGACGAGGACGACCTTCTCCCCCCTGAGCAGAAGGCAGAGCGGGAGAAGGAGCGTCGCGTGGCCAACAACGCGCGGGAGCGGCTGCGCGTGCGGGACATCAACGAGGCCTTTAAGGAGCTGGGCCGCATGTGCCAGCTGCACCTCAACAGTGAGAAACCCCAGACCAAACTGCTCATCCTGCACCAGGCCGTGTCGGTCATCCTGAACCTGGAGCAGCAAGTGCGAGGTCAGTGGGGGCCGCTGCTGGCCGCCCCCGCCCGCCGCGGTGCTGACCGCCCCG